AAGGAAAAAAATATCTTTTTTTTTTTTTTTTTTTGGTTTTTCGAGACAGGGTTTCTCTGTAGCTTTGGAGGCTGTCCTGGAACTCACTTTGTAGACCAGGGAAAAAAAGTATCTTGTTCTATTGACCCAACATGCTCCTTCCCACACAGGTACAATTCACTGAATTTTATCCTCCTTAGCCCCTGGCAGTCCAGGCAACGCACCCCTCACTGGTGCTAACACCCTTTGCAGCTGGGACCTGTGTGTCGTGTCTGTCCGTCCATCCACCCCCCCAGCTTGCTTGCCCTGCTCATCAGTCTGCCTGGCTGCCCATCCACCTCCACAATGGGGCTCCCGGATGATGTCTACAACTGTCCTGGTTCACGAGGCTCTCTGCTTGCAGTGCATGCTGAACTCTCTCCTCTTGAAGCCCCTCCCGTGGAGACAGCCACTGCACCTGCTGGAGAGTCCAGCTCCACACAGGGTTCTAATGGGTCCTTGATTCCTCATGGGCCGGTCCCTGCCCTCCTCACACAGGGAACTCAACGGCAAGCCAGACCTGGCTGGTCCCTCCAAAGCTTCCTGTCTTGAGTCTCCACAGGACTGCCCCCTCTTCTGAGAGCTCACCTTTCACACCCTAGGCTGAACTTCCTGATTACCACACTCCATCAGCTCACCTCCCCCAGTGGAAGCTAGATCAGGTCCCCTCTACCCTGCAGTCCCCCACCACACCCGTGCCTACCTTTTGCCACAGCTCCAAAAATGTCACCCCTTGGCGTCTGACAAGGATTGATTACAGTACCCAACCCCCATGATTCACAGACGCCCAGCTCCTGGTGAAAAAGGCTGTGGGATTTGCATATAACCCACGCGCATCCTCCTGCACATTTCAAATCTTCCCAATTACCTATATCTGATACAATGTAAATGCTATGTAAATAAGTGTATTGTTTGGAGAATAATGACAATGGGAAAAGTCTCCATGTTCTGTAGAGGTGCAATTTTTTTTCCATAACATTTTAAATCTGCCTTTGGTTGAATCTGCCGATCTGGAACCTCAGCTACAGACAGCATGGAGGGCGGGCTACAACTATGAATTAATAGAGTTTATTCTCTGGTCTCATGTCTGACCCCAGTCCTGTCCCCTCAGTGAGAGCCCCTGTATATCTGTCTCACCTGAGCCTAGGAAGTAAACCCATCAGGTCTTGCCTTTGGTGACATGGCCCTCACCCCCAAGGCCATCACAGGCCTTTTGAACACAGGCTCCCCAAGCCAGGCCTCCTGCAGTTAGGTCACTATCAATAATGGAGCTTGTGGCCTACCAATTCGGCGCCATCGAAGGTCTTCATGTAACCATGGACCAACCTTAAGGAAATGAAATGCTCTCCTAAGGACCGAGAAAAACAAACAAAAAAGCTGCCTCCGATTGACGTTAATGCACTGATGACCACGGGCACTGTCAAAGACCTTCTCCCCCTCCCTCCCTGTCTCCCTCCCTCACCCTGGTGAATCTCAGGGACCCTGGGAGGAGTTGAGCTCATCCACCCACCCCAAAGGGGCCGGCTCACACTCCCCTCTTCTCTCCCTTGGCCTCTTCTGGGCCTCAGCCTTGGCAAGGTGATGGATTCAGAACCAGAAGTTGGCACATCCACCAAGTAATTATTGTTTATCTCCCTTGTTTATGCGGCTGAACAACAGCTCGTTTTCAAACTTAATAGTCAATACTCAGAAAGACCAAACTGCCTTGGTCACTCTTGAGAGATGGCTTGAAGATGTGATGGGAAAAAAAAGATGGGTGGAGGGTAAAAGGAACCTAGTATGTCCACAGCCCCTGCCCAGGCCAGTCCTGCAGATGGAGCCCCATGGCAGAGACCCCAGAAATGGGGCATCCTCTGCCCAACCTGCTTCCTCTGGGCCAGCTACAGCATGAGCTGCTGGGACAAGGGGCAAGTCTCACTACTGTGGGAGCTGGGGCTTTGTCTTCTGACATCCCATAGTTGAGGACAAGAAGGTCTGATTAGCCAATGATGAGTGGGGGGGGGGGGGAGCAGGCCACGTGGAAGAGCTGGCTGAGCAACCCAGGTCCCACAGCCTAGGCAAAGGCATGCGGCTGTATGCCTATTAACCATGGTGAGAGGCTGCCATCTGCTGGCACTTCAGGAGCCTAAGCCTGGGAGTTCTGGAGCTCAGAAATGGGTTCCTCATCACCGAATGCAATTAAATAAAATAAAGAAGCCAGGTGGGGTACCAAAAGCCTGTAATCCCAACATGTGGCAGGAAGATCGTGAGTTCAAGGTCATTCCTGGATGCATAATGAGTTTGAGGCCAGACTGGGATACTAGAGAGTCTCCAAATACTCAAAAAGTGATGTGAAAGGTAAGAGTGTATGGAATTCTGAAAGAATATAAAACAATAGCAACAGCAATGATTGTAGACTCAAGCTTCCTAGCAGGCTGGGATGCTGTCATCATTGTTCACTGTTGCTGGTTCGATGATTATAATAAAGTTACAATCTCTTGATTATTAATCACTTCCTAGGACTTGCAAACAGGAGTTTGGAACCCAGTCATCCCTTAGAAGCTCTTCTTCCACATAGGTGGGACAACGTGCCCAAGGTGCAGCAATTGCTATATGGAACAGGCAGGATGCCAGCCCAGGCTGACTGGCTCTGACTCTGCACTCTCACCTGGGTCACTGTCCATCCCCCTAGGTCCCCGAAACCCTCCTCTCCCCCTGCTTTGCTCAGGAGACCATTTCTGTGCCCCCAGACCTGCCCATGTGTGGGTATTCCTGCTCTACGACACAATGGCATTGTCCCTCAAGTCCCGGAGGCCCAGAGCAGAGCCCAGAGCTTGTAAGGCCCCAGCCTCCTCTTCTGAGTGCAAAGGCTTCTCCTGGGTTGAGGACTCGAGGTCCGAGTCTGGGACAGTCAGATCTAAAGGAAAGAAGAGGCAATTGGGATGGGAAAAGAGCCCTGAAGATGGAAATCGGCTGCCTGCATTCCAGCCCAGTCTCCAGCCCAGTCCCTGCCTGTGACCAATCACATTTCCCAGTTCCTTCCAACGCTTTTTGCTGTGACTGCTGAGAATGGACCCCAGCAATGACCCAGTGGAAACATTGGGAAAGGCTGGACCCAGATAGGGTAAACAGCTGGCCCAGGTACAAAGACAAGATGGCAGGGCTGGGATGAGAAGTTAGGCTTCCCAACTGCCCAGTCAGAGCCTCCTGCCGTACCCCAGTGCAACCCCACCTTCCCTGTCTGCCGTACTCAGAACCTGCCTACAACCCAGAGCTCTGCTCTGGGTCCGAGATGAACCTGAAGTGACAAATGTCCTGCTTCTGGGAGAGACATTTCCCCTGTGTCCTGGGACCTGTGACAAATATGAGGTGACCTGGGAGCTGAGGAGAGAGGGTTCCTAGTTGCTTTATAATCACAGCTCCAGAGACAGTGACAGTGGCGGATTGATGAGTGGGGGTGTACTCAATGATGCTGCCACCTGGGCTCTAGCAGAGGGCCCAGGGCCTCCAGACACTGCTGTCTTCCTACCTTGCCTTACCTCTGTGCTGCCTGTAGGTGGCAGCCCTACCGAGGGTAAGCAGAGGCTCAGCCATCCTCCATGGCTTTCCCCCTGAAGAGCTCTGGCTCCTGTCCCACTCCCTCCTCTGCGGTGGGCAATGTCAACAGGCCCCAGGAGACTGGGAGTCCCTTGGGCCAGCACCGTTCTCAGAGTCTGGGCAACTCTGGAGCCTTCACTGTATCGCAGTTCCAAAGCATAGGTCCTAGAAAGGGTCGATGAACTTCACAGTAATAAGTACACAAGGAGGTTACCTGCTGGGCACTCCTCGGGGACAGCTACTTAGGAAAACCAGCAGCAAGATTGGGGCTTGGGGAGCACCAGCCAAGTGCGGGGAATTCTGTCTTCTCGGCTCTCACAGGAGACTACCAAGGGGGTCAGAGCGTGGTGGCAGGTCCCTTAGCGGTGCTGAGGACTCCCCCCCAGAGGGCCCCTCCCCCTTTCTCCTTTCCCTTTTCTTCTAGTTCCCAGGGGTCCCTCGTGGGAGGTCTGGCTGTTGAGATCTGAAAACTCCTCTGACCCCATAGGCAGAGGAACAAGGGAGGACGAGGAATGTTGCTGTCCCAGGCAGACCAGCTGAAGCCGAGTTTTAGGTACTTTCCACAGTGTGTGGCGTGTGGTGTAACAGCTGCCTCCCACACCCCCATCAACATTCTGACAGTCGGGGCAGGAGGAAGAGTAAGGACCATTAGAGCAGGGACGTATGATGTCCAGGCCCCAGTTTGTACTCTCCGTTACATCATGCTTCTGACTGCTTTGGTCACCTCTTCCAGGAAGCCGTCCATGATTGTTCCTTAGGCCTCTCTGGAGTCCAGGAATTTGGTTGTTGTCATTTCCTTCATCTGTACCCCAAGCCCAGGATGGTGTTGTCCTTGGGAGGCAGCCTCAGTTGTAGCATCCATCACCCAGGGCCCCCTCCATGGAGAATGTTCTTGGGTCATGCCCCTGTTCCGTCTCTACCACAGAGCTCAAGTCACAAGCTCGAAGCACCTATGGAAGACCCTAGGGGCCGGTTGTGGCGATGCACACTGGTAGGATTTGCTGAAGGAAGAACTCTAAGGCATGCTGGCACCTCTGCCCACTCACAGTGGCTCTCTAGTTACTCAAGAACTCCCCGGGCCTCCACATTTTGTGTTCAGTGTTAATGAAAGTGTGCCCCAGAATGTTCTGGGTTTCTGTTCCTCAGACTCAGGCCAGATCCAAAGGCACCGTGTTTTCAAGTTATAAGAAGGAGCCAGGCAGTGGTGGCTCACAGCTTTAATCCCAACACTTGGGAGGCAGAGGCAAGAGGATCTCTGTGAGTTCGAGGCCAGCCTGGTCTACAGAGTGAGTTTCAGGATAAACGGGGCTGCACGGAGAATCCCTGCCTCAAAACAAAAGTAAGAGGGAGGATGACAGGACGTCAGCTTCCTGTGACCCTGAGGGACGCATTCAGATCCAGAGAAGTAAAGAGACAAATGGTTTATTCAGGGAGGGTGAAGCCCAAGCCAAAAGTACCCCTCCCCACCCCTGCAAGCTGGCCTGAGAGGCCCCATCAACCTAGAATGGGAGACAAGCCCCCAAACACCCAGTGCTGCTGCTGATTTGGCCCTCTCAAAGCCTGGTGACAGGACATGGATGGAGGCTGACTCCCCTGCTATACGTGCTACCTCACAAGTGACACCACTCTTACCAGCCCATCTGCGGTCCATTACCATGAAAAGCATCCAATTCCACTTGAGTAAAAGTCTACGGGCAAATTTTCATGAGTGCATTGTGGTCATCAGGGGAACGGCTCCTCGCAGCAATGGTACAGCAGGAGACCCCATCCTCTGGCTTTGCAGTCTCAGGGTGAGCATGGCAAAGTCTCACAGCTGGGCCGGGACAAAGCCAGGACGCTGAGAGTATCCTCTAAGGTGTGGCCAGGCTTTTAGTAAGTGGGATCCTAAAGGACACACAGGGCTTGCCTCCTCCTGACAGGTTCAGGCTGCTGATAAAAACGTGAGCCCAAGGGATGGGCACAGAGAGGTTACCTTAACTGGGCACCTACTGTCCACAGCGGAGGGAAGTGGTCACCAAGCCTGGACATGGTGGAGCCTGGGGTGGGGGAAACAGACTGGCACCATGTGGGCCTGGTGACCAGCTTTGGGAGAGGGCCACAAGAAAGAAGCCCAACCGCCTCTCACCCTGTGGTAGGTAACTTGGCCTCACACATAGAAACCACAGTGACTGTATGTCACCAAGTAGCAAAAGAACCCTAGGGGAGCAGAGGAAGCCAGCGTGCCCTGGGGAGGGGGACTGTCAGAGGCTGTGGGAGGGCAGAGCGGGCCAGGCTCCCGCCCTGCAAGAATGCAGCAATTTGGGAAGCAGGAGCAACAGGAGAACGGGGTTGTGGAGCTCAGCGCTGAACTCAGGGGGCCTCGTTGGACCCGATCCCACTGCCTTTGTTGACGTAGAATGGCCGGTAGTGAGACTGTGAGGGAAACAGGAATGATTAGGACAACCAGGTGGCAGCAGAACCCCCCTAGCCGACCCACCCAGCCTAGACCTCCCTGAAGCAGCACTGGACCAAACCTACAACCCGCTGTGCTCTATGACCTGTCCTGCAAGGCCTACTTGCCTGTCTTGCTGCCAGGAGGTGGTCCTTGATAGCACCAGAACTTCCGGGTCCAAATTCTAACTAGAATCCATTCCTGCCACTTAGTATATGAGCTTGGATTTCATCCGCCGCCCAAGTGCCACCACAGCCACCATGTACATAAGCGCTCTGTGTTCTACGGAGCTACACAGCACTGTGCCAAGAGCTTTCCATAGACAGACTCAATTAGGTTTTACAACCGTCCAATTAAATAGGCTACAGTGATCATGACCACTGTGTAAGTTAGCAAACCAATGCACAGAGAGGCCAGGCAACTCGCCCAAGTCACCCAGCTAGTGAACAGGGGAAGCAGGATGAGACACACAGAGGTTGGACTCCAAGATCCCATCATCCCCACCCCCGCCCCATTTCTTGGTGTCACTTCTCACGTCGGCTTAGACTCTCTGTGTGATTCTCCCTAACAGAGCGGCACAGAATGAGTGAGCCGCTACCCCATTCCGCTGTGCTCCCCACCCACCACCCCTAATCGTGGAGCAAGAGCCTCTCTAGCCAGAGCCATGAACAGCTTCCCCACCCTCCTCTCTGAGTCACATCACATGACAGTTACAGGGAAATCAGCTTTTCTCCTTTTGCCCTCCTAGTCCCTGCCTCAGGGCTCTGAGAAGTTAGGTCCCCCAGGCTGGAAAGGAAGAGCAAAGTGGCCTTGTTCCCGGCTACTAGAGCACACCACTAGTCTCAGGAGTCCTGGGAATCAGCCCTGTCCCTTAAGTGGGTCCGACATGAAGCTTCTCTGTACCTTCAGGCACCCTGGTCTGTGACTCTTGCATAGCAGGGGTTGGGCCTAGGCAGTGCCAGGCAGGGCAGGAGGGTTTGCAGCCCAGACCAATTCACAAAGGAAGAAACTGAGGCCCAAGAAGGAAAACTGAGCATGGACGAAGTCATGGGGCTGCTCTCGCAAAGCAGGGTTTAAAGCAAGCTTCTTTAGCCCTCGGGTCCATTCCAGGACCCCAAAGCAGCCCACAGGTTAAGGTGAATGGATTTGCCTTTCAGAACGGCTGGGACTGCAAGCCAATGAACTTGGCTGTAGTCTGAGAGACTGGGGCAATGGGTGAGTAGGGAGCTCTTTGCCAAGCCCCCTATATAGGGTCGAAGTATGTGAGAGTCAGAAGGGCTAGGAGAGCACCCAAGCTGAGGAATTCAAGTTAGAGATGGAAAAACTGAGGCACGATGATCCACTCATACACGATGGCAAGGCAAGCTGATGATGGCTGGGTCCCAGTTGCCAGGCAGCTTGCATCTTAGGCTGGCCTCTGTGCACTCTACACTGGCTTCCATTGTCCCAGCTCTAGGTGCCATCTGGACACCACAGCCTTGTCCTGCTGGAGCCCTCAGAGTCTGGGGAGCCTCCTGTGTGGGGCCTCAGGTCTGGGGGACAGGAATGTATATGATATGGAGAGGAATGACTTTCTCCCATTATCTGCTTTCCACAGTCCTGCTGCTGCGGTGCCCTTGGGCCCAGCTCCACATTACACACGCAATCACTTAGCTCCTCTCGCCCACAAATTAAAGAGTTTTTCCAATTAAACCAGCCCCAGCTGCTCTTTGGTGAACAGAGCAAATCCTATGCTCTGACCTCAAAATGCAAAAGCAGTGAAAGCCAAGAGCTCTGGTACCCATCTCAACAAACCCCTGATGCTACTACCTGCATGGCACACTGGCTAGCCCTCTCAGGACCTAGCACAAACCCTGGGAGGAAAACATTAGGGGAGACGAAGGCTCCAGGGTTTGACAGTCTCCGATCACTGCTATTCCCAGGCAAGGGTAAGATGCATCCGGTCTGCAGGGAACTGGGGGCCACCTCATCTCATTATCGTATTATAGGAATGAAATCTTGAAAAGGGTACATGGTTCTGAGATGCCAGCAGGTGATGTGGATCCTTGGTCACAGCTTAGGGTTATTGCAGAGTAAATTCTGATACACATGTCAAGTGTTCCAGCTCCCCCAAACACACACTATCACCCCTAATGGCCTCTATGCTGTCAGAGCTGGAAAGTAGTAGACCCAGGAATGGAACCCATCTTCAGGTTGCCTGTCCAGTGGACTAAGTATTTTCCAATCACACACCTCTTGGAGACCAAGCCACCGTAGTCACCCAGTGACCACTTGCAGATACAAACACTGACTACCCAGCTACAGATTCTAAATAGAGGTCAAAGGCAGTGTGTGTTTACCCAGGTTCCCTGTGTATAAGCCTGTGTGTGTCTCTCTCCCTTTGCTACATGTGGCTGCTTGAGCCCTTGCTGCCTCCCATGCTTCCAGTATGGCCCAAAAAAAGTCCTTCTCTTCCCACAGACCCTGCACAGTTGCCAGGTCCCTGGACACGCCTGTGATCAGCAGCACCCCCCACCTCCACCTAGAGCACCTTACTCACCAGCAAAGTCTGCTTGCCAGATTTCCACGTCTGAGGCTGGGCCTTGGGAGCCTGGCTCCGGAGGATGGAGGGATAGCCTGGGAAGACATGATGCTCCAGTCAAGAGGAGCCTGGGCTGGTACCCAGGGACCCCCACTGATGGAGCAGCATAGCCGCCTGCCCCAGAGTGACCCCCGAAGCATCATCCAGCCCAAGAGCAAGTTCAACCACCTGCAGAGGTGTGCAACAGCTGGGATGGTGCAGTTGCCAACTGGAAATCCTGGTTAGCCAAAGGAAGGGGGCGGCAAGGCGGGCAGAAGGAGAAGGAGCCACCCAGGTAGACAGACAGCGGGAGAATGTTGTCTCCCAGTCCAGGTCTGCACTATGTATGCTGCTAGGATCACCACCCACTTGCCCTGAGGGCTTACCGCCAAAGACCTGTCTCTTTCCCAGAGTCCAGGACAGCCCTTCAGCCAGCAGCCCCTGCCAACACTGCCCAGAAGGAAGGACTCCTGTCCCTGCTGTGCTGTGCTGGGGGTCAGGGTGACGTTTCTTGTTTATCAAGCCCCATGTGAGTGTCTGCCCCTTGCTTGGTCCTCCAGTCTCTTCAGCTCAGCAGCCCGAGTCATACGGCAGCAAGTGGCTATCAGGATTGGAAAACACTTGCCGGCCTCCAAATCTCATAATCCCATTCCTTCTGCCTGGCTCTGGTTGTGTCACAGCTAGTTAGCAGCAGACTAGGAACCCACAGAAAGGCAACCATTTGCCAGTGTGACTGTCACTCAAGGTGAGGACAGCATGTCCGAGGTCCCAGCATGTGGCTCTCTGCACTTGGTGAGACAGTGCTAGCCCAGAATGAAGCTGCCTGACACCTCCCTAGGCCTCTGTCTCAGCCCAGGACCCTATAAAGAACGAAACTGCCCAGCACAGTGAAACCCCCCTCAACTGTTCAGCCCACAGGGCAAACAGCAGCAGCTGGGAATAAGCTGGCCTGTGGCTTGGAGAGTGAGAGACTGGGGAGATTAACAGCCCTATCCAACAAGACTGTAGCACTTCCCCCTGCACTGAGCAAGAACCCCCAGAGATGTCCCTGCATCCAGGGTAGGAACTGCCTGAGAAAGTGAAGATTCTATGGGCCCTGAGTGACGATGAAAATTGGGAATGAAGACCTCACCTCTTGGTTTCCAGAAAGAAAAACCCATACCAGCCGTAAGAGCTAAGGATGGGGATAGGGGTGGCCCATGAGAACAGCCTTGGCAGCAGGCAGAAGTCCAAAGAGACTGAGCTAGGATGGCAGGGGCAGGGAACATGCATCTCTCTTGGGGAGCTCTGAGGAATAGGGACCAGGATACCCTAGAAGTGGCAGGGATCTCCCCCAGGGTGGCCCACCTGCCCTGCTATGGCAGAGAAAGGGAAGAAACGGGAAGAAGGTGGGTACCGGGATTGTTTTTAAACAGCCCACTGCGGTCCAGTGGCTTGGAAAACTCTGCAGTGGCCTGTCCCAAGGTTGTGAACTGATAGGGGGCTTTCCCAGTGCCTGCTGGGAGAGAGAGAGGTGTTAGCAGCTTGCGCCTACTATCCAGGAGGCTGAGAATCTAACACCTCACTGGGGCACCGTGCTTCTCCACGCTCCACAGCCTTACTCAAACCTGGGAGCTAGAGCCTGCTTGGCAGCCCCAGTGCTCCCTGTCTGCCTGTGGGTCTGGTAGAGGATATGGAAAATCGCCGGGGAGGGGGCGGGGTTTCAGGACTTCAGGCTGCCCTTCTCCTGACATACAGGGCAACCTGTCTAGGCCATTCCTAGTCAGCCTGGTGAGTTACTCTGCTTGAGGGTGAGGTGGACTCACTGTATCTGAGAAGAGGCCCTTCCAGGGTGCACGTTAGCCAAAGGCTCTATGCAATCTGATGGGGAATGTCTGAGAGCTAGGAGCTGTCACCCTCTGTGTCAGGTGACCTTCAGGCTAGGCTTGAGCAAGGAACAGGTAAGCATATGATGGGAGCCAGCATGCCAAGGTGAGTCCCAGAGTGTCCCAGGCCTGGCCCAGGAACTGGACTTCTCCTGGATCCTGCAGGCTGGAACCCCCTGTTCATCCCCTTATTCACCTTGTTAGCAGCCCCAGAACCCTGCCCTTGATCCAGGCTGTGCCCTAGCCTGGCTGGACCACTAAGTGCTAAAGCCCCTTTGGAGGCCACTGTTTGCTGGGGGCTTTGGGGACGCACCCCGGTCAGCTCCTTTCCCTCTCCATCCCAAGGGACCCACCCTCTGATCCTCCCAGGACAGGAATTTTGGGTGAGGGAGAGCATCATAGCTGACTCTATGGACTAGAAGGAGAGACAGGCCCTGGGCCTACTATACAAAGGTACACACCACTTTACTATACACTGCTTCAAGCCTACGTTCTCAGGACGACTCCAACCCCAGGGAGTGGAGTAGAGGTGTAGACTTAACCAGTTCAAGACCTACAGGAATGCAGAGAGTAGATGGAGGTAAGGTATAGGGAAAGATCAGCCCCAAGAGGCCTGATCCCACCTCCCCAGAGCGGCTGCTGCAAGATGACTTCACAGGAAGACTGGGTAAACAGAGTTAAGTCAACTCCATAGCAGAGAGGCTGGGAAAGTAATCCAAAAGGAACATTTAGGCCAGTCGGGTAGGGATGCCTCTCCAGTCACTGTTGTCCCAGCCCATCTTTCGGGGCCAGTATGCATGTCACACCCAGGAAACAATGCCATAGCCGCGCCCCTTCCCTGGCTTTGGGTTGCACCAAAGGTCTAGGCTCAGCCTCCATTTGGTCTGAACCCTCACCTCTGGAAGGTGAGGGGAGAGCTAGCCAGAAGGCAAACAGAGATTCAAGCAGGGCAGCCTCCAGGTAAAGCCAGGGGGTGAGCTCACCTTTCAGCGAGAAGGAGGAGTTGCCTGGCACAGTGGGCAGGTCCTCGGAGTTCTGAACAGTGGACGAGTACTCCCAGACCCTGGAGGTATAGTTACCTGGCAGGACAAAGAAAGCATGTCAGACCCAGGTAGGCTGGTCTGGAGAAGGAAGGGCAGGGCCAGGACAAGATCAAGTCCTTGACTCTTGGTCCCTTTGCTACCTCTGAGGTCATGATGTCACTATGCCTGCCATAGTCTCCCCTGCCGTGGGAGGTGTATGAAGATGGGTGTGTTCCCGCAGGTCCCTGTCCTCAGAATAAGAAACGGTGTGTACTTCCTAGTGTGTTATGATGGGCCGTGGAGTGGCCTGTGCTACAGTGCACGTGAGAGTGCCTTTATGCTGCTTCCCTCTGTCCACCCTTACGTGGTACTCCAAGGATCACACATAGGTTGCCAGGCTTACACAGCAAGTACCTTTACCCACTAAGCCATCCTGCCGGCCCCTAGCCTCGGAGCATCAGGGAGCCCTTAACACAACCCAGGGGTCTTGCGTGAACTGTTCACTCCTACCCATTCACACCCACTTCCTGGCATTGTGGCCTCACTTCCTCCAGCAACGTCTCTCTCTTGCCTCTGGCTTTGGATCCAGAATGGTCCTTTGCTTGGGCTATGCCCCTTGCTCCCCATCCTCAGCAAAGTCATAGAGCATGTCTCCACGTCACCTCCCCCAAGTCCCTGCGTGCCTCTTCCTGCCGCCTCTCATCACCCTGTGCCCTGGGTTGCAGTTGGCTGTCTAACTGTCCATCTCCCGTGGTTCTGGGGACATGTTTGTTTTGCTGAGCATCAAACTGATGCCTGCCAGAGCCTTATTCCTAGAAGGTACTCGCTGCGTGTTTGATGGATATGTGTGCTAACTAATGAACAAATAAATACAAACATATCCTATCACTTGGGGACACAGACAGTTGACAGAATGCCTGGTGTCCTGTTTGTGGGGGGTGATCAAGCTAATAGACAGTTGCATGCAAGGTTTTTTTGGTGTGTAGAAAGAGGAGGTAGGGAGAAAGCAAGGGCATCAAGATGACATTGGCATCCCCACTGATGAGGCACCCAGATTTTCTTCAGTAGCATAGAGCCTCGGGTACCTCCTAGGTCAAGCTCCTTCTGCAGCGGTGCCCACTAGCCCACGTGCTTCTCCTGTCCCTAATGGATAAACTGGGTGAAATAAGGCAAGTAGCCACCCTGAAGTTGGATTTGGGGGGCTCCTCTAGCAAGAGTCAGGGACAAGGGCATACCTCTGCTGAGTCATGTACTAGCCATGAAGTGGTTAAAATGAATTGTCTTGCTGTTATTCTCTCCTATATGTACTTTTTGTGTTGTTCATAGCTGTAAATCTTTTGTATGTGCAATGAGATAACTATGAGTGAACAGGTGTGCATGCACATATGTACACATGCCTGTGGAGGTCCAAGGTCAATATCAGGTGTCTGTAATCACTTATCCACCTTGTGTTGGGGACAGGGCCCCTTTTGAGCCTGGAGTTTGCTGATTTGGCCAGACTGACTGGTCAGCATGGCCCCAGGATCCCCATGTTAGCAAGCACTGAGATTTCAGGCACATAGAGTGATGTTCAGCTTTTGCACGTGAGTGGTGGGAGTCAAACTCGGGTTCATGTGTTTGCATGGTGAGTGCTTTACCAACAGAGCTAGCTTCTCAGCCCTGACAGCTATGAATCTTAATGACCAGTAGAGAGGTCCAGGCTTTGCCCTCCCCACCAGATGGCAGTGACCTTCTTGTTTCCAGGTGTCTATTCTTCATTGAAGAGACTTCCCAGTGCTGGATCAGAGTGGCGGTGCCCGGCAAAACCGGCCCAGTACCCAAGAGCTCCATCCCCCAAACAGAGGCTTCAGGAGTGCGCAGCCCTGACTCAGAGTACAGCAGTCCCCTTAGCACACAGAGAAGGAGGCCCTGTATCTGACAGCTGCATTTGGGGAAAGCATATCCACACTCCCACCACACTTCTGTCATAAGGAGTCATCGTGGTGTGTCAAGTCATGCCTTCCTTCCAATTTGCACTTTAGATAAATCACTTTAGTATGACACAGCTGGTACAAAAGTCAACTCAGGTCTGTAGGCCTTCCAACCTGATGCTTGCTGAGAAAGACCCCCACAGCCAACCTCATGGTAGACAATCACCCCATTTCCCCCTACTCATCCTTCAGGGATAAAAGCAAATGGACTGGGGAGTTTTAAAGATGTTGGATTTCAACAGCTTCTCCCCAAGCCTAACTAATGACATCATGCACTTCTGCATCAACCAACACATATGTACACACACACACACACACACATACACACACACACACACACACACACACACACACACACACTGTCCTGGCTGCATTCCTCTCCCACTGGTAGTCAAGGCATTCAAATTCAACCATCCCAGGTACGACCATCCTATGCTCCCTCCTGCACACCTGCATGGGCTCCTGCCTACCCTAAGCTGAGCCCCTCCTACCTTTAGTGCCATACAGATTGCTGAAATTCTTCTGGTTGGTCTCCTTGGAGAGGCGGCTGGGCGATGATGGCTGATAAGATGTCCGGACCCCACCTGTGGGGCAGGAACATCATTGCAGAAAGGTGGGCCTGACTCGGCTCTAGCTTATTGAGGGGAATCCCAGGCAGGACCCCAAACATTTCCCTGAGATCCCAATGGACTCTTCCATTAGGAACAGTCCCTGGGTCTAGCCTGAGGCAGTCACAAAACTCATCACCCAAATGGGGACCCTTTGGGAAGCAGAGGGGTCACTATTGGTCATTGTCTCCAGAGCACTAGAAGTCTGGATGGTTCTGGGTGTGCTAAGATGCTCAGTCATTCTATTTGGGAGCTTTGAGAGCAGGAGGCTGACAAGCCAACACTTCGCTCCTGAGCCAGTGCCTGTCCCAACTGGACTGCAGAGGCTGAGATCCAGGACAGTAGGAGGAAGGAGAGGCCATGACAATGGTGGGGGTGGGGGCAGAGCTTTGGGTCCTCACCCAACAGACCTAACCTCCTACAAAAGCCTAATGAGCCAGCTGGGAACTTGTCCCAGGTATCAGCACAGCCTATGGCTTCTCACCACCCTCCTGCATTATGTTCCCACACAGCCCCGTGCCAAGGCCCTCCTGTTGTCTCTACCCCTCTTGCCTAGACACTGTACACCCCACCCACTGCTGGCTCACCCAGCCCAGCACCTGCCTGCCTGTCCTCTTCCTGTCACAGTCCTGCCCCCACACCACCGCTGTACTGGGCAGAGAGTCCCTCCTTCCTGAGTCTGGGAACTAACTTCTGCAAGGGAAGGGGTCATCACCACTGCCTAACCCCACTGACTCCAAACTTCCAGGCTTGGCCTGGTATCCTTTAGTAGCCCTGTCGCCCTGATCCCCTTGACATCAGCAGCCTCTCCCATGCCTCTCCTCTACCCTGAACCTGGGAGCTGCAGGTGTCCTGCCCATCCTGTCCCTGCAGGGCAGGGACACCAGAGGAACCTGTTTCCCCCACCTACAGATGTCACAACTGTGACCAGCCTCAGGCTGGCTCAACCCCGGCACTCTCAGGGAGCCTTTGTGGCAGGTTGCTCTCCCCACACCTGGTGGCCAGAAGTGGGGCCACTCTATCCCCGGGAGAAAAGTAGGAGCCAGTGGGGGTTGGGCCACCCCGTCAGGGTAGTCCTTGACCAGGGGGAGGCCCAGAGAAACCAGGCTAGGGAAAGGCAGACATAGACTTTTAAAGAAAGAGCTGCTAGGGATCCGGCCAGCACAGTTTGTCCTTTCATGGACCTGGCTAAGAGCAGAACTCTGGGCAGAGAGGGGACAGGAATGATGACAGAGCCTAGTTCACCCCCAGAATGTCAGAGGCAAAATCCCAGTACCCCTCTACTGTCTAGAACCTACCAAAAGTCTGAGTGCTGTTTTGAAAGGCGGGATACACAACTTCCTGTCTGATGAGCTCACTTCTCCCAATCCCCGGCTCTGCCCACTGTGGATTTACCTGTCTGTCAGTAACTGCTCAGGGTCTCTTCAGCTAAGTGCCTCCCCAGATCTTCCCCACCCCACCCTCTACTCTCCAGCATCCCCGTTCCTCTCCAGGGCCCCTGGCTCCCTCATGCACCTACACACAGCCTCGACCCTGGGCCTATGGCCTGGTCCACCCGCCCTCATGCGATGAGCACCGTTGTGGTTCGTGGCTGGCATCTAAGAATGTTCAGACTACCCTGAGCCAGGGACAGGCAGGCCCTGGCCGAGGCCCTCCCAAGCTGCCCCCTAGAGGATGTGCTAAGGTGACTCAAGGGAGAAACGCAGGGGCAGCCTGTCCCTGGAAGCAGCAGCCCTACCCAGGACCCACTAGGTGCAGCAACTTCGGCAAAGCACCACACTGCTCTGGGCTGCCAGAGGAGAGTCTGCCAGATACTCTGAAGGACGGAGGCTACAGGGAGGGAGAGACTGACAGACTACACCGGGGACCAGTGCTGAATAACCTGTCACCAAACCAGGACACGTGTCACCTGAGCGTGAAAAGAGGCACTGATTACCACCACCCAGGGACAGGAAGTAGGCACCAGACACACTGAGTTATGGTCACTCTACCGGGGAAGAACCTGTCTGAGGGCGACTTAGGACCTCGGCCATTGGTAGCATGCTCTCCCTCACCCTTGGGTGTGAGGTACATGGAGTATCTCTTCATGGTGTCAGGCGTGCTCCACTCGTTCCCGTAGCTGCTGGTGTAGCTGTTCATGTAACGATGGTCACCACCTGGAAGAGAGGTGAGTCAGCAGACAAACAGGAGAGGAAGAGGAGCTGGCTCACAGGGACAGCCAGACTCACACCCTCAGAGGATGTGACAGCACTGTCCATACCAACCCCGCTACTCCAGTGAGCCACTGCCCAGGCACGGTCTTGTCCTTGCAAGGGCAATTGTGTGCATGCGAGGAGATCCCCAGTTTTGGTGTCCATTTCTTATTTGACCTGTACATCAGCTCCTGGGCAGGTATGAACATCTCCACACAACGGAAATGGAAATCAAGACTCAGGAGGTGAGGGTAGTAGGATGCCCCTGGTAATAGGACAATCGAGGCAGAGTTGGGGTTTGGCTCCTGACCCCACATCTTACCTCAGCCCCAGCCACTGATGACAGCATCGAGTAGTGGAGTGAGGTCCTGTCTTAGTCTCTGTGGTCCAGGTATCTGGCCAGCTGTGAACTGCGCACAGCTGCAGGCCCTCAAACCCCAGCCAACCTCTCAGTGAGCAACTCTGCCTCTTACCCGCTGTCCTCCACCCCTGTCTGTCTGTTACTACTTCCTGACTTCTATTTCCTCCATCCTTCTCAACCTCTCAGGTAAGGAGTGAATGGCTCAGACCCATATCCTTCATCCTCATCTCCATCGCCAGCATCGAACAGGCTCCTGGTACACAGTAGAGTAAAGGTGTTTGTCCAGTCCCGGTTCCACTAAACCAAAGATGCCTGGAAGTGGCCTGGTGCCTCTGAGCCCTGGCCTGGTAGGCAAGCCATCATCAAGGAGCAGCAGTGGATGGTTAATTCAAGGCCTGACTCATATGCTACCCATCCTCTATCTCCTACAACAGATGTCATCTAGCCACTAGGCAACAGTGACAAAAACATGACAAAGGCAAAAGAGGCTTGCCCTGGGCCCCGCATTACAGGTGCAGGGCAGCTGAATCAGCTCCTGGATACTGTCTCACTCCACACCTTACATAGGACGCCAGGCCACACCTGCACAGAGACTGTGGCAGGAACCATCATGACCTAGAAATTCGAAAATGAGGCACCAGAAGGCTGGGTGGTTCCTACAAGACTCAGGCCACCTTACTCCAGTTAGGGCTGTCCTCTCGCACCTGTCCAAACCATACCCAGTGACTCCCCTGCAAGGTTTGTACCACAGAGACAAAGACGGTCCTTCCTCAAACTGCTGCTGCTGCTGTTAGCCCCACTTGAGATGAGAAGGCATAGCAGCCAGACTAGCAGAGTGTGAAGGCCAACACTACCCCCTCCCTGTGAGCTGGGGGCCCTTTGAAAGGCTGCTTCCCTGAGCATCAACCTGGACATCTGCAAGAGGCAACATCCCACGAGGGAGCAGGGAAAGGCCAAGGAAGGAAGGAACTCAGCATAAAGCCCACATCCTGGGAGTCCTCAATCACCTCAGCTGTCACCGTCCCCATTAGGATCATGGCGATTGTCATTAGGAAAAGGCTGTCAGGATTGGAGTGCCATTTTAAGTCAAATGATTGTCTTGCTAAAATGTCTTATCTGTCCTTAAGTGTGACTGAACGTCCCCCATATTTCACAGGGACACTGCACTACCCCTACACACTCTTAGGCCCCGCTGCTCAGGGAAGAGTGATGTGCTCCACCTAGAGACCAGGCAGGCGGAATCATTTCCATCGTGTTGATGGCTATGAGGCCTTAATAGGGCTGTTTTTGAAGACCTTGCACTGGACCTGAGCCATCGGGGTGTGGCCTTGGAGAAGGTACCCAGGCTTCGGGCCCTAAAGGGATTGGGATTGGGTAGAATAGGGCTTAGCAGGGATGTTCCTCAGGTTAGGAGGCTTTCTGTGAGAGAGTTCAGTTGACCTCTACAGGGAAAACATGACTCAGAGTAGGGGCTGATTTCAGGGCAGGTGAGTCAGAGACACGCTGTGCCCCATCATCTCCAACCCACTGCCAGGCCAATTTCAGCCTGTGGGCTCAACACTACTCAGCACAGCCATGGCGACAGGCCTCCCTCCAAGCCCAGATGTAATTCTAGGTTACTTCTGAGGCCTGCAACTCATCTGTTCTAAGTCTGGTCCATTCAAGCAGCAGCAGTATGCGACTGCTAGGTTAGACCTGGCAGTTAGATGGAGACCTGGATGAAACCAGTCCTTGATGTTAATGAATGTGCCCAGAGAGGCACCTGTGTAGCAGTTCCCAGAATCTCTCTGCTCTAGAGGCCCCTTGTAATAGCTACCAGTTCACCGGGAGTGCTAGAATCCCTGAGGCCCAGGCTGAACATGGTTCCATGGATGAGTGAATGGAGACCATGAGTCACCTATCCAGGTTCCTGTCTACATCAAGCAGCAGGAATTGACTGGGAAACACTCACAGCCCCAACCCTGTGGACCAGGAAGTACCCACCATTCTCCATATGGTTCCTCTCAATGAAGTTGCGGCTCAAATCAGCCTTGCACATCTTCTCAACATGGCGCATGCACACATTGAGAAGGTCATCCTTGAAGTTGCCAAGTGACTGTCCCAGGCCCTCTCCCTCCAACAGGACATGGTAGGTGGGCAGAGGTGGGGGGAGGGAGTAATTGCTCATCAGTGCACCAAATTCCTACCAAGAGAGAAAAGCAGCAATTGACTTTGCCAGTCTTTGTGAGTTAGGGAGACCTTGGTCTGCAAGGGAGCTCTCGGTTTAGCTGGAGACTCTGCACTGAGAGCCAGAGGGCTAAGCCCCAGAATCAGCTCAATAGCTAACCTTACTTTTCTCCACTTGGACAGACGAGGGAGGAAATCAGCCTTGATTGAATTAGCATTTGGAAGAGTGACTCCAAGGCTCCCACCACTGATGTGTACACTGCATACATACATAGGAAGTTGTGAAGGTGACACAGGTTGTGTAGACTTTGGGGAAAGAGGTACATGAAAATTCTAGAACAGTGTGGGTATTTCCATCTTTACAGCCTCACTCAATCCTGCCTCAACACTTCCCTTCTCCCTCCTGTAGTATCCCTCCTCCTTCTCAAGTCCTAAGCAGCCTGCAAGACCCTATCCAAACTCCACAAAGTTGTCCTTAGATTGCTCCAGCCTGCTGTCCCTTCTCTGAATTTCCACAGGCACTTATCTCCTGAGCCACACACTTTATCATTTAATTACACACTTTTCCATATTGTTCTCTAATTGTACATGTCTTATCTTCCCAGCTGGATTGCAGCTGCTTGGGGGCAGAAACCATGTCTTATACTTCTCTATTCACCACGGCACCTGATAGAGTCCTGCATGCCCAGGAGTACCAAAACATTCTAGCAGACAGAAAGATGGATTCATGAATACACAAACAGACTAGATCCAAGATAAGAAATTTGCAACACTCTTAGGCCATTCCTCCCTTACCCAAAGCAGGCATTACTAATTAATCACAGAACTCTTTCTTATCAAGCCTATAGCACTGCTGGTAAATAGCCATTGAACTTGGTACAAGGTGACATTTGTGTGCGGATCATCCTTAGGGTAGACTGGATATAAAAGTAAATAGATGGAAAGATCAGTAGTGAATGGTTAGATAAATTGTGGGTGGATGGGTAGTGAGTAGATGAGCGTTGGTAAGGAGTGAATGGATGGTGGGCAGGTGGATGGGTAGGCAATGAATGGATGGGTGATAGACGGGTGAATTGGCAGTGACTTAAGGGGTAATGGAAGGATGGATGGGTGGGCGGATGGATGGTAGAATGATGTTAGGTGGATGAATAGTGAGTGTATGGGTAATGGGTGGGTGGATAGATGAATGAATGAATGAATAGTGAGCAGGTAGGTAATGGGTGGGTGGATTGATGGGTGGATGAGTAGTGAATGGAAGGGTAGTCGATGGGTATGTAAACGGATGGACTGATAGTGGGTGGATGGGTAGCAGATAGGTGGCGAATGAGTAATGGGCAGATGCATGGACACATGAATGGACAGTGGGTCGGTGAGCAGTGGGTAGACGTGTAAGGCATGCATGGCTGATAACGAATGAGAAACCGGATGAGTGAGAGGACGAGGAATTTGAATGGTGGAGTCTGCTACCTGCAGAAACAGCACTGAGTCGCTGATGCTGTGCAGCTGCTCCCGGGTCTGCTTGTCCTCATGCAGCACCTTGGCCCTCTCGTCCAAGGCGTCCACGATCACCTTCACTTGGTCCACGGCGTCCTGCTCCCGCTGCTCCAGGGCAGCTCTTACTTCCTCCTTTTGCTTCTCCAGGTCCCTCACCAGGTCCCTGAAGTTCTGCTCCAGGATAGCCTTCTCATTGGTGGTGAAGCTCTAGGTTCAGAATCAGGAGGGGGGAATGAAGAAGAGTTGTGTTTTCCCAACAGACTCAAAGAACCCCCAGGACCCTAGCTTTGCAAGTCTCTTTGTCCACAAATCTCATTCAAAAGCATCATTAAGGGATGCCACTTACTGAAAACCATGCAGTGTGAGGGTTGTTGATTTGGGTGGATTGCTTTGTTAACACTGTTGCTAGAGACAGGATCTCAAGTAAAATAGGGTGGCCTCCGACTTTCTATGTAGTCAAGGCTTCAAATTTCCGATCCTCCTGCCTCTACCCACTGAGTGCTGGGATTACAGGTGTGTCACCACATCTGTCTGCAGATGTTTCTCGTACTCTACTCTTCCTTATTTACTGTGGCTCTTTTCCCTGGGTGGGACAACACGAGCCACTATTCCATGCTCAAGTGACTCTCTATAGGCTCAGATAATCTCCTTCAAGTCATAGTATGTTTGCTGAAACTCCAATCAGAGCAAACATTATTTGGAAAGTAAATCAGTTGGTTGTTCCTGAGGCCAGGCTCCACAGTCACTAACTTCATACTAGTTTGCAATTATCTGAGCCACAGCAGACATACTGCTTACTACACTGGCCCAAGGAGAAAAGAAATGGCATGTATTTAGTAGCTGGGTAGTATGGTAAGCAAAGCAGGCATTAGAGGACACTGGAAGACACATTGAAGAATGGGTCTAGGATCTTCGTTTGCTGGTTCAGATGACCTGCAAAATCCCACCTAAATGCCTGACCTAGGCTGAAAATGGAAGTGGATGGGACATCAAAGGGGCTGGGAGGATTCCAAACAAGGCAGCATGGGCAGCACTGTGGGCCCAAGCCTGGAGCAGCACAGCGGTCTGCCTTCTTCCAAGCAATATAGGCAAGTGAGGGTGCAGCAGGGGAGCCTGAGGCTGCTCACCTTGATCCGGTCCTTCTCCTTCTGCCACTTCTCAGCCTCATCTTCAACCTCAATGATTTTCAGCTGCAGCTGCTCCTTCTGCAGTGACAGCTCGGTCTGTGGGGAGATGTGGTTGTCAGGAGCAGGGAGAGGGGGGAACAGGACCTGAGACCTGCTGACTCAACACAACAGCAAACTCAGGCAGATTCAACACTCATCCGTATAGCCCTTCACTCAGCAAATGTTATCAGTACCCCAGATCTGCGGGACTCTGTGCTAGTGGCCAAGAATCCAGCCATGCGTCAAACACCATACCTCAGTGCTCTTGGATCACTAGGGCTGAGAAGCTCAGCCATGCCTTTAAAGGTTAGGATAAGCCTCATAATCCTTCCCACCTAATGAAGGGTGGGAGGTTCTTGTTCCTTCCAGTGGGCCTGGGGCCACTGGTGAAAGAGAGGATCTGGACTCAACCCAGTTCAGCAGAGCCCTGCCCAGGGAGTGGCTTGTAGCAGTAACCCCATACAACATGACGCAGGTCTCGTGTTGCAAGCAAGAGCTGAGGTTGCCGCCGGCCCTGACTTGGTCTAGGCAGGCACAGCTGTAAACCTGCTTATAAGAAAGGAAATTCATCTGCAGTGTAGGCAACATGAGGACTCTTCCCCACGGTCTCTGCAGGAAAGAATACAGGGTGAGGCTAGGCAGGGGATGAGAGGACCTGAGGCCCCTTTCAGAGGTACTCAGACTGTCTGACCCTGGAGCAGCTGGGAAGAGGCTCTATCAGGAGGACACTGAGACACCAGCATTACATCCATGCTTGGCTTCCACGTGGGGGAAGATCCCTCTCTGAAAACCAGCTGTAACTGAGGCAGATTGGAAGGCATGAAGTTAAAGCCAAAGCCATTCAACAAGTTGAGGGTATCTTTATTTTTTCTAATGGGCCCCACTGGAGTTCCCAAAGACCTGTCTAAAGCTTGGAAGATAAGGGGGCGATCATTCAAAGAAGTCTTGAGTGACTCAGAGCTTCCCATAACCGCCACAGTTTGAAAACAGACTCCTCTTTCTCTCTCTCTCTCTCTCTCTCTCTCTCTCTCTCTCTCTCTCTCTCTCTCTCTCTCTCTCTCTCTCTCTCTCCTTTTTCTAGCCATCTCCCTGAGGAACCTGTAAGAACAGTCAAGGTGGAGAAATCACAAGCCATAAGGATGATGAGCTCTCCTGGCAATGAGTTGTGAGCATCTGGGCCTGGGGCGTCATCAGCTGCCTTTGAACATCTCACCAAACTGAAGGGCACCTATGGGGTGTCTGCAGCAGAGCCTGAGGGGATACCCTGGGGTGTTTGCTGCACAACCGCAGAGCAGGGTATCCATGGTAGAAAGGCTCCCATTGGCCTTTTAGAAGGGGTGTCGTGTCCAGTGGTGGGGAAGGCAGGGATACAGGAGCCACAGACACCCCCAGATGGGAAGTCCTGCTTCCGGGGCCCGCCCATCACTGCCACACTCCCAGGCACTCCAGGCAAGAAGACTCTAAGATGTTCTCAGTAAGCACCTACCCCACCTCCAAAGTCTGACAACCCCACAGCGTGGAAAATGTCATCACCAGAGAGGAAGATCGGCTCTCAGGAAGCTATGAGGGTGGGGACTTGGCCAGGCCTCTGGAACAAGACTCCAGGGAAGACACAGCAGTGGGAGGGAGGAGAACAAAGAGAGTGAGCTCCCACCCTCCAACTCTGCTCTTTGAGGGCCAACAGTCAGCGAGGCCAGGAAGCAAGGGCTGGCCAAGCTAGTGATATGAGGACCCAAATGTGGTCCAGGCCTGAGCAGCAGATCTGCATCCTGAGGAATAGAAGTTGGGAGATAATGGGTCTGTCCCAGTGACTTTCCCATCCCTAAAGAATTCCTGGGGATGGGCTAGAGAGATGGCTCAGCCATTAAAGGCTAGGCTCACAACCAAAAGTATAAGAATTCCTGGGGGAATGAGGGTCAAAGCACAGCTGGAGGCCTCCCATCCTCTGCAGCTGAGCCTGTTGAATTGGCTCTCCCAGAGCTCATAAATAAAACTCCAAGATTGAGACTCCCCTCACCACCATCCCCAGGCAGGCTGTAGGGTCTTACAAGTTCCTTGACTTCTCTATGGCTCAGGAGCGTCATCCGTTCTGTGGAGACAACCTAAACCCCCACACCCACCACAGAGGGTGTAGGAGAGATAGGATCAGCTAAAGAAGCTTCCAGAAAGCACCTGGCACAGACTAAGCGGCTGACTGAATAATGTCCCCACGGCACATGTATACGGCACCTCCCAGGTGGGGCAAGGCGGCCAGCATGACAAGCAGGATAGGGACAGGTGTGCTCAGGGGACTCTGCTGTGTTGCACGGTGAGTCTGGTACATGGGGTCTGATTGGGGTCCAGATATGGTACAGACACAAATCAGGACAGGGAGGACAGACTGAGGGTGGACGGTGAGTGGCTGGGACACCGTGAATACTTGAAAGTGGGGGGCTCTGAGGGAAGAAGGATGGGGGTAGAAAAGGCTGGGAGAAGGTAAAAGCCAGTATCAAGAGCTGGGGGTGAACAGGGTGCCAAGAGACACCTATCGGGGGCTGTATGGTCGGTCAGCCCACAGCTGAGTGAAGGGCCCTTCCCAGGCCAATGGATTGTCCAGCCAAGAGGAAGAAAGGAGGTACTGAGTCCAAGGTGTTGAGTTCAATGTGGCTTAAGTCACGAAGCACCCAAGTCAAGGATAAAGAGATCAGCCCCTGGGAGTCTACTCTGTGAAAGGGAGAGAGGGGGAGGTCAGGGACCATCTGAGATCAGGACCGAAGAGTGGAGGTGTTGGCCAACCACCCGTGTCGGGAGGAGGAGGGGACCAGCCTGGACACGTGCAGGGGCAGGACCAGAAGTGGAGACAAGCTGTCTGCAGCAGTGGGCGGCAGCATGGGTCAGGGCAGAGGAGAGACCGGCTCTCCTTTTCTCTATGGCTCAAAGGAAGTCGGACACAGGCTGGGAGGGACCCAGTACCCACACCACAGTCAGCAAGACGAAACCTGCAGGGCAGAGAAGGTTCCTGGGGCTGGGAGTCACAGTAACGGCCCCTTCCCCACCTCTAGGAGGAGTCCTGCCCCCCTGAGGAGAGGGGTTAGGGTCAGCTCTCTAGGGATGTACCTCAAATCATAGTGCTTGTCAGTTTTTTCTGTACAGGGAGTAACAACAGGGTGTCCAAAGACACCATGGTTACAGAGGAAAGTAGTCATGGGGCCACTGAGCATCTCTTACAAGCCAAACACCCTGTGAAGGTCAATGGTGTTAGCCACGCTTCAAAGATGCGGCCACCAAGACCAGGAGGCACTATGTAGCTGGCCTGAGTGTGCACAGTGAGAAAAATGTATTATGTAGCTGGCCTGAGTGTGCACAGTGAGAGAAACGTAAAACCAAGATACAGTCACAGGGCCACTTCTTCTCTGCGGCTTCTCTCAGACAGATGGAGACCTTGTCCTTCACCGTTTTCTCACCTCCTCGCAGCTGATGATGTTCAGGAACTCTCCCCTCCTACGCCTCCCCCACCCACAAGGACTCCAGCTTCCTCTCTTCCACTCTCCCTCCTCCCCCCAGATGTCTGAGGCCTCAGCTCCGCAGTGCTCCACCCCTCCCCACTCCTCCCTTCTGGCTTCCTCCCACTCTTCTTCCCTCCACCCTGCTCAGGCCTGTCCCTAAATGCTTCCTTTGTTCCCTTCTCCCACACTGTCTGGGGCCTCTCCTCTCTGATGACCCTGGCACGGGTCACCCAGCACTGAAATTCTTGTGACCTTGAGTGAGTCGAGGTCCCTGAGAGCGTGGCACACGGTCTGTGGAGCTTCAGCCCAGGTTGGCCATCGAGTGTAGACACAATCAAGCACGAGACAGGTGGGCCGGCAAGGCCCCCAGGAGAGGGATCTGGCCGGCCGAGATCTCCCATCAGCCTGGACTAACTGCATGGGCCTTGGGCTGTGACATTTGCCAAATGAGCCAGTTAATTGCCAAATTTGTACTCCCAGACACATGGTAATTACCTGGATAAGAATCTGAAATGCGGAATACATTTCATATTTCTATGCTCCCATGTCAAACAGCCCTATGTCACTGAGGTCCCCTTCTCACTCCCTCTGCTTCTTCACAGCCGCAGGTCAGAGGAAAGTGCTGACTAGGGTGAGACACTGTATCCCGGCATCTGCAGACCAGCAAGCAGTGAACTCTGCAGACATCACCACCCTTCCTTTAGCTTCAGTTTCCTTGAAGTGAATTGGGCTACCTTCCCCTGCCAGCTATAGGTTAGCATCTTTGTGAACCAGAACCTCCTGGAGCAAGGCCTGGGACTCTATGTTCTAACAAGTCACGGAGTGACCCCAGCTTGCAGTCTGTTGTTTGGAGGTCCTTGGATTTGATGACCACAAGAAGACTCTTCCAATCCTGCTGGGAAAAGAGGTTTGAAGTGGTGGAGAGAGATCCCAGCCCCTCTGCTCTTCTTCGCTGGCCTTTGTGTGAGTCTTTGCATCTTTGAGCCTGGTGTGGGACCCCACCCCACCAGACTGCTTCATTTGTAACCATGCAAATGCCAAGCCCAACCCTGGCCCACGCATGAGCTCCACAGAGACAGATCACCACCCACCTGCCTGGTTCTCACTTTCCTCCCTGTTTCCTGTCTCTAAATCTCTCATTTGATTGATCCCCTTAGAGTCTAACTATCTTGTCCCTGTCTCCTCCCAGACGTTCTCCCTGAAAATGCCCAGAGAGATATGAGACACCCTGGCTTTTAGACTGACTGCTCTTCCTGAATCCCTGCCCCCACTATCTGCCCAAAGAGCTTTCCTCCCCAAACCAGCACAGCAAGAAACCCAAGGACCAGCGGCTGCATTAGCCTGGTAACCTAGTGGCTCAGCCTCACTCGGAGAATTGGGCAAGAAGAGGAGAAATCAAGCCACAGGGCACAGTAAGAGAACTGAGCCAGATGATGCTGTCTACCCTGCGGACGAGTCACTGAATATGAGACCCTTTAGGGTGGCACTCCCGCTTGAATGTCGTCAGCACTCGCCTTCATATGCCAGTGATGTTGTCAACCCAGAGACCATGTCAAATGTGCCTTAAGACGGGGGCCACCTAGAGCTGACAGCTGTAACAGGAGGGACTTGGGATGGGTAGGGAAGTCCGTGGATAAATAAGATGTTCATATCCCTCTCCATCTCACCTCCTAACATAGCCTGAGAAAACCCAGAGAGATAAGCTAGGCCAGTGAGCACCTCTGGGACCACTTGGGACATTGGGAGAAGAGAGGGAAACAGGGAGGTCCACTAGAGGAAAGGGTCACCATATGGCACACCATGTGACCTTTTCCCAGCACAGTCCATGCTCCAAGCCTGTACATAGGTTCAAGGGATGAGTGCCTGTGGCCATGGGTGTCATCTTCAGTTTTGTGCAACCACCCCAGACACTGCTTAGTGACCTCATCCGGCTTCAGCACGGGCCGGTGGAGCTGGTTCTGCCTGCTTCCTTGCACGAACTCATGTGGAAGCTAGTGTTTGAGTGTTTCAGATGCCTTCAGAGGATGCCAGAATCCACAGTCTGCTTCACACCAGTCTATCAAAAGACCTCCCCTGTTCTGGGTCAAAGTCCCCCAAGCCCAGCATCTCATGATAGCTGGCCCTAGACAGACTGCCTCAGTGCTATCTTCTGGCTGCTCGGTCCCACTCCTCTGTCCTTGAGTTGCAAGAACACACACAAGTCAGTCGTATACGCACACACGGTACCCTAAGTAATCGTATATGCACACACACAGTACCCTAAGTTCCCACCATGGCAGTCACTCCAGGATCCCATTCCCTGCCAAAGGGACTTCAGATATTGCAAGAAGACCTAGTACATTTTTCTCCAGCCAGCCAGGTTTCTTCCTTTCCTTGGGGTGTGCCCCAGTCTGTGAAGTAAAGAGTAGACTGTGAGGCTGTGAGTGCATCGGTAGGGCCTGGTATTCTCTCTCTGCAGTTCCGTGTTTGTGCTTCTGCATACCTGGGAGGGTGTCCGTCTTGTTTGTCTGTCTGAGCCTCTACTTCCTTGCCTATGTCACAAGCCCTTGAGGTCAAAGGACTCTCTGAGCCCTACAGCATACACTGACTGAGAACAGCAACTTGGAGCTCTTGGCATCTCCAGGCCAGGCTGCCCACACCTTCCTGGCCCCCAGAGGCAGCTCTTCTGTGGGCACTCATAGTGGAGCCGAAGCCTGCGTAGTAAAGACGTCTGTGTGTTCAGCTGGCTCTCCGTGGAAGCAGAACCTGCAACGTTTGTTCCCTGTGCCCACTTTGTCCCCTTCTCACCCCAGAGTCCTCAGAGATGTTTGTAAGAATCCTGGGGCATCACAGAGAAATGTGAAAACAGTCTAGTCCATCCCCCAGTTTCACACGGAGGGAAATGAGCCACTCACTCTCTTGGTGCTAGAGACTGACAGCCTCCTAACAGCCAGCTACTTCATTTCCAAGTGCCCTTCATTCTGCTTGGAATTCACGCTCCTGACCTCTGTTCTCTATCACCGAGAAGCTAAGAACCAGGCTGCGGCCAGGAGAAGCTGGAGTCAGGGGACTCTGGGGTCAGGGGACAAGCAAAACTGAAGACACCTTTGAGATCCAAATGAAGTTTCTAAGAGAGGGTGTCTGATTCTGCCCCTACCTGTGACTCGACACCTGCTGCCCCAAGGGTAGGGGCAAGAGACACAGAGAATGACCACCAAGCACGTGATCAAGGCTCTGGGCAAGGAGAGACCCTCTGCAACTCGAGGTACAAAAGCTAATGGGAGGGTGAAGCCCTTGCACTGGGCTCCAGGAAGCTTTGTCCCCACATGCAGTTGGGTGAGTGAGCAGCTCAGCAAGGTACAAGGCCAGTGGCCCCAGCTGAGCCTTAACCCAGAATACCTTCCCCAGGTACACCACAAGTCTCCACTCGCCCCTGCTCCTCCCCGTGGAAGTACCGCCTCATCACACACAGGGAATTCACACAAACACCCTTACGTAGCCCCCACACAAATATGGGCAGACACCCACATTCGCAGACACCCGCATGCGAATACGACACACATTTACATCCACCCGCCCACACATGCTCTCACTCCAATGTTGTCCATCCACAAGCACAGACCTGTCGGCTGAAGCCACACAAAGCACACAGGGCCCAACTGAGAGCAGGAGTAAGGAATGCCGAAGTGGGGGTGAAGGGAGTGTCTTCAGGACCAAGTAGAGCAATCGAGTAAGGGTGTAAAAGCCCGGGTGGTGGGGGGTTGAAGGAAGTGGCTTCCAGGTTAGGGCAGATTCAAGTAGCTGCTAGACTGTAAATGCAAGCCTGGAGCCAGCAAAAAAGGGGATTTCAGGAGCCCTCAAATCCCCTCAGTATCTCCCTCCCTCTCGACCCACTCCCTAGGGTCCCATCCTGCCCAGTAGGAAAGAGTTTCTATCCAGAGAGAGACAGAGACACACAGAGAGAAAGAGAGGGGCCAGGTAGAGCCCAGGAAGAGAGTTCAGTACAGTTTTACACTCTCGTGAACTTGGTCCAGCTTCTAATCTTTCTGGAGTTTCTAGTCCCTCACTTGGGGACGCCCCTCTCCCAGTCAGAGTGACCTCTGACCCTCAGGCTGAAGGTACAAAAGGGAGAAAACTTGTTTTCTAAAAGAGCAGAGCACAGTGGAGACTTAGCCCGAGTGAGGGGGGAGGGGGGAGGGGGAAGGGGGAGCGGCGAGGAGCCTGGTAAGTCACCTCCTTCTCAGCCTTGGCCTCCTCCACGGTCACAGTGCTGTGGTTCTTGTGCTCCTGGAACATGCAGAGGTAGCAGATGCAGGTCTGGTCGGTCTGACAGAAGAGCTCCATGGTCTTGCCATGCAAGGGGCACTTTCGGGCCTCGAAGTCCCGGATGGGCTCGAGCAGCTGGTGGTCACGGAAGGCGGCGCCCTCCAGATGGGGCTTCAGATGCAGCTCGCAGAAGGAAGCCTGGCACACCAGACAGGACTTGACGGCCTTCTGCTTGTTGCCAATGCAGGAGTCGCACAGCACCTCCTCGGAGCCAGACTTCGACCTCAGCAGGAGACCAGAGTCAGCCCTGGGGTAGCTATTCCTGCGGACGTCCCCCGGCTCCACGATGGTCACCGTGGGTTTGCGGGGCTCGGAGAAGATGGACTTCCGCAGCTCCCCCTTCTCAGCAAAGGTCACAGGCGGCTTCTTGGAAGCCCCCAGCTGGAGCCCCGCATAAGGAGACCTCCTGCCTTCCGCAGAGTCCATGCTGAAGTAGTTGGAGCCTTTGTCATCCACGGACTCCACAAACTGGATGATGGGCCTGCGCCACTCGTTGCTGGAAAACAGGGCACTCTTCCCCTCCCCTGTCTTCAGGGCACTGCCCAGGGTCTTGCCCTCTGTCACTTCCCCGCTGTGCCCGTTGGTGGTTTTGGCATCTTTGCTATCTGCTTTAGTGCCATTCTCCAGGCTGCCATTGGGACCCGATGGGCTGCGAGCGTCCCTGGCTTCTGGGCTGGCCCCATTGCTCCTAGAGGCATCGGCACCTTCCATGGCAGGTCACTTGCTGGCCTGTTTCTGCTGGTTGGGGTCTCGTGGTAGGTGTCTCAGGCAGGGAGTGGGACTGGCAAGCAGAGCCCAGGGACACACCTGTGGGGAGGAGGAGGTGGGGCAGGAGGAGGGGCCATAGGAGGAGCAACCTAACACAACGGGCCCAGAGACAGGCGGGCAAAGAGGCTAATTACCTGGGCCACGCCTGCACATTCGCGCCCAGCCTGGGATTTTAAAGAAGTGTTTTTTCTCCCAGTTTTATTGCTTCCCACCATTGACAACCAGTTCGACTGCTTCTATCTGAAGCCCTTCTAGCAGGAAGGCGGAGCCTCTTTCCTCACAGGTGGGCAGGCTTTGAGGCGGCCAGTGCCCCTGGAGGCAGAAGGTGAGGTGTCCAAGGAGGTCCATGGGACAGAAGGCTCTTAATTGGGTCACACAAGCCAAATCGCCTTGTAATTTGCGGGCTGGATATCAAAGGAAAGCCTCCACCCTGGGACAGCACATGCCGCGGAAACTAGCTGTGCGCTGGGTCTGATTTGGAGGTTAGGACTTGAACAGGACTGATTCTTACCAATTTGCAAGCGATGTGTTAGGTACTTTACATGTCTGCGTTTATTTAATCCTCCCTACCCGTGTGCGTGCGTGCGTGCGTGCGTGCGTGCGTGCGTGTGTGTGTGTGTGTGTGTGTGTGTGTGTGTGTGTGTGTGAGTGTTTCTTGTTCCCAACATCTTTCTCAATGGCTCATCACTCCCTCCCCCCCACCCCCATGGCGTCTCTTACTAACCACGGGAGCTGGCCATTGGATCTGCCTGCCTCTTGGAAATTGGACAACAGACACAGACACCACATCTAGCTTCTGCATGGTTTAGGGCTTGAACCCAGGTCCTCCTGCTTGCAGGCAAACACTTCACCCCCTGAGCCCCCTCACAGCCCCTCAGCTGTGCTTCTGACAGAGAAGAAACACAGATGCTAAAAGGTATCTGGCTCCAACCCATCACAGGACTGAGACTGGAGTCTGGGGCTGTGGAGACTGTTCAGTCTCTCCTTCTATTCCTGCTTCTTGGAAACACCTAAATATCTCACTAGAACACAGTCGTTGGAGGTTTTTCTGTGCCCATGGCCCTGAGAGAGTACACACACTGGCCTTAGGTATCTCCTCAGGGGTCAGAAGTTGCTCGGGGTCTCTGAGCCAGAGACATGGTAATAAGAGGAATCTGAGCAACGGCAGCCAGGCGGAGGGTCCTCAGAGCCAAACACCTCACTCTCGCCCACCCTTCTCTACAGCAGTGTGCCGTGCGACTCAGAAAAAACCTGCCTGCCTTCGCAGGGCTGGGCCATATATAATAACCTCCAAAATGAGGCAGTACAGTGTGGGACTCGGATAACTCTAGAGACATGAGAACTTCCAGTTCTCCTCTTCCCCCAGGCCCTAGGCAAGCAGCAGAACCTTCTGTTCTTACAGGACACCTAGAAACAGCTGCCCCACAGAGTACTGGAATGCCCCCATTCCCCCCAGTGATGGATAGATTGGGGTAGACTGTGTGTTTGGCTGGGGTACAAGGTTCTGAGGTGAATGCAGGGGAAGGGTCTCCTTTCCTTCCCCTCAAATGCAAGTTAAACCCTGGGAACCCCACCCCTTGACTCAAGAGGCTGACAGCTACTCCTTTTGATCACAGCCCTGGGAACAGGGCAGACACACTTGGCTTACACAGTAGCTAGAGTTAAGAGGGTGTGTGTGTGTGTGTGTGTGTGTGTGTGTGTGTGTGTGTGTGTGTGTGAATGTATGTTGGAGGTGGAAGTACTGGTTTGTTCCTGTCCTGGAGCCTCTTGGAAACCCCTATTATTTGAACTCACTGATGGCTTACCTAAGAACTCATGAAGATTTCTGGGTTGGAGAACCTATTGTCAAAAAGTTGGACTCGAGTCTATGTAATGGCTCAGGGTCGTAATCTTAGCCATTTGTGAGGTAGAGGCAGAAAGATTGCCACAAGTTTGAGTCTAGTCTACACAGTAAGTTCCAGCCCCCAGCCACACCAAATCCAAACAAAACAAAGTGAAAATGAAAAAGAGAAAGGAAAAAATGAAGAGGCAAAGAAGAAATGGGGGAGGGAAGGCCAGGCCAACATCACAGACTGCACTCTTACCTGAGGTCTAGGAGAAGCCAGGAGGGAAAGGAGGAGGCTGTCCTGGTCTTTTGGTGGAGACGGGCCCCCTCCTCATCCCCTGGGAGTCTCCCTCATCCCCAGGGACCAGACAAGGAAAACGAAAAGGGAAGAAGAGCAAGAAAAGACAGAAGAAAAGTTCCTGACGATCCAATCGCTGTTTCTGGTCCTTAGCGTTCCATACGCCTGCCTCCCAGAGATCCAAGAAGTAATCTGAGCCTTAGGACAGAAGCCCAGACCAAAAAATAAACAAAAGTCCAAAACCCACCATCCAAACAAAACAAAGCCTCCATGGATGGATGAAAGAAATCAAAAAGATACATATGAATAGAAATGGGTGAGTGAATGGATGGATGGATGGATGGATGAGTGGATGGATGGATGGATGGATGGATGGATGGATGGATGGATGGATGGATGGGTGGGTGGGTGGGTGGATGGATGGATGGGTGGATGGATGGATGAATGGATGGATAGATGGATAGATGGATAGATGGATGGATGGATGGCTAAACAGATATATAATTGATAAAATAAGTGGAAAAGGAGGTAAGAGGAGGGCAGGGGAGAGGAAGGGAGAGTAGAACGAAGGAAGGAAGAAGGAGTAAATATAGACAGTTTGTAGGTGAGTGAGTGGCTTGCAAACATTTGCGTGTGGGAGCCTGGCACCTGATTGTCCCTGCAGGAGAAAGCCTTGGCCTGTGGAGCTTGCTGCTTCCACCCACTCTCCTGCCCCCATCTTGAGTAGTCAGTCTGCAACTCATCCCTAAGGTGCTGACAGCAACATTTGGTGCTCTCATGGGCCAGTATGAGCCTGCTCCAACACACCCCAGGCCTTGGGCTGGTAGATGGATGATGGATGATGGAGGTACACAGATGGTCTGGAGGAAAATGGGTAAGCCATTCTCGGTTGTCCTAAGGGAAGGGAAGCAGGTTCAAAAGCGTCAATGGACATGGGATGAAGGGATGCTATTTTTTCTTCCAAGAGGCATTCCCTCTGATCTGAGGCCTCAGTCCAAGCGCCTGCTTGTCCTACAGGAGACATCCAGCTCATCTGTGCCTAAGTTGGTTAGTGTTAGCTCATTCCGCACCTACTCCTGAAAACTACCGTGCACCTGGCATTCAATAGGGACCCATCGCACATATAGGAATGAGTTATTGATCTGCACTGGGGAGCTTGCAGTGTCATGGGGAAAGAATAAGTAATCCATTCAAATTTGGGGTGAATGACTCATAAGAGAACATGTACAAGGGGTCTAGGGATGCCCAGAGGAAGGAGAGCCCAGGCCATCCTGAAAGAGACCTCTTACCCACCAGATTGAGCAGGTTCCCGGCCCTTCTCAAAGTACCCTCGCTGCCCACCAGGTAATCTTCAGTTTCCCTAGCAGGTGCCTGCGGAGCTGAACCAAGGAGGTGAGGCTAATTGTAACTGGAATTGTAACTCAGCATGCATGAAGCCCTAGGCTCCAACCTCAGCATAAACTGGGCATGGCGGTGTATACCTGTAATCCCAGCACTCAGGAGTTAGGAGAGGAAGGATCAGAAGTTCAAGGTATTTGGGGAGTTCAAGTCTAGCCTGGGCTATGTGACGCTCCAGCACCGAGGTGGAGGAGGGAGGGGCTCAGAAGTCCAGAGGAAGGTGACTACTCCTTCACTCTCCCAGCCTTCCCACTCGTTCTACATTTGTATCCACCCGAGGGCTTGACTACACCCAAGCAGCCGTTTCTTGATGACCCTGGGAACCTATTGTCACACACAAACTACAAAAGACTCCCAAAGGACCAAAGCAAAAGGACTTTTGTATTTAAAAAAAAAAGTCTTGAAAGAAAGGACAGTCGACAGTCAAGCATAGTGGTTCATGCCTTCAATCTCAGCACTTGGGAGACAGAGGCAGGAGGATCTTTGTGAGTTCGAGGCCAGACTGGTCTACAAAGTGAGCTCCAGCATGGCCAGGGCTACACTGAGAAACCCTGTCTGGAAAAAACAAAAACAAAAAAGGAAGGAAGGAAGGAAGGAAGGAAGGAAGGAAGGAAGGAAGGAAGGAAGGAAGGAAGGAGAGAGACCAGGGGTGGGGGGTGGGCCTCCTCAGGTGTTCATTGCCCTTATAATCCTGTCCTCCCTCTGGTCTAGCTTAAAGTCTATAGTAGAAGTAAATGCTGAACCCTCCCTCGTGGCTTGCAGAGACGAATCTGCCTTATGGAGCAGGGGTGACTTTGTGTCTTCCCCTGGCTGTCTCAGGACAAACGTCAGTCTGCCCTGCCTGCCAGCCCCCACTGGGCAGTCTACTCCCACGCCCACCTGCAGCTGACCCTAGACTCCTCCCAAAGTCCTTTCAAGAGGAAGCTTGAAGCCGGCCTCCCTCCTGCAAACCCTGATTCAGCGGGTGGAGCAGTCTCCTCCTCCCACTTTTGGTGACTTGACTGCACCTGTCACTAATCCTTCCCTCATGAAATAACAAAACCCCTTAAAAGGAATCATTTCCTCCACCTTCCTGGGAACCAAAAGATGGGAGGGGAGAGGCCACAGGGACCATCCTCTTGCCTCTGGACAAGACTACCTAGAAAGTCTTTTATGTATATGTCTCTTAAAGGATGACAGACCCTTAAAAACACAGAAGGAAAATCTTTGCAGTCTTCCCCAGACACTCATTCCAAGCTCTGGGACTACCTTTGCTGCAGGCAGTTCTTCTTTGAGTCTAGCTTCAATACACTAGAAGCGACAGTGCACTGTGCAGGTGGAGTTGGGGACCCAGGTTTTGGTCCTACTGAAGATGAGCTAAGTAGCCACCAGGGCTGTGAGAGAGGGGTCTGAGCCCGTCTTAATGCATCTGTGGCTTTGACTTGGAGGTTGCTGCTTCTTTTGTTCCGTTTCATTTTCATTTCTGCTTTATTCTTTTTTTTCTTGGTTTTGAGACAAGATGGTCTCACTCTGTAGCCCAGGCTGTCCAGAA